GTAAACCTCATGTTGTGAAAATAGAAGTTTCGAATTTCCGGCCAAGGGAACCCGATTTTGGAGTCTAGCAGATTATCAGGCTCATAGATACTCAAACATCTCCAGATTCTGTGCGATTTTTAGGTAGTGAACCACTGCATCATCCGATCGAACCCTTGCTCGTCGGCCTGTTCGTACTGTTCTTTTCCGGAAATCAGTCGATTAAAAAAGCCGCAAAATTATAAACGATCGCATAAAGGTTTTGTTAAAAACCTTACACACTGTACTATTCTATTGTTTTTTTATGTGAGCGTGTAGTTTCCGAGTTCGTATGATGAATTATGGTGCGTGTTTTTTGCCATATCTTCTGTTTCTCGGCTAGAACATCTTACTAAGCTAGATGTGATACATATCGACTTGTTGTTTTTAATGCACTTTATTAGGTCAGAGAGAAGATATAGTATCAAGGGTCGGAATGGAGATGAGGACTGGGGTCGCATGTACCACGTTCTAGGTAGCGCTTCCCTCCTTTGCTTATGTGTTACTGTTCATATCTGTTTAATGCCAAAATAGACGTCATAAGCAACCCTCCTCCTGAGCATGTACCCATAGAAGACTACGACTATGGAGAGGGTGAAGTTATGATTGGCACTGCTAAGTCAGCTGGACACTGTAAGTATCCTATCAACACAGAGTAAGTCACGATACTGTCGTATTGTTCGGAAGCTTGATTGTAACTACTCGAGGTTGACTTAGCGTCTCCAGCGCAAGATCATGTCACAGTTATCAAGGTGTGATTACGGTAAAAGTTTTTGCACTCCTTGAGTACGGGATTCATAGTGATCTTCCACCTCTCTAATAAGCATGACACAACTCCATTACCTTTTGAGCACCGGCCTTGGTGATGATCTGTGAGCTTTATTTTGGGTCGCCAGGACGATTTCTTTGTTATATTAGCGCGTCTCATCATCATAGGCTACTGGAAGTTGCTGGCGTAGGAGCAGAGCTTGTAATGGCGAATTATCACTGAGGTGGTATGCAGTCTAGAGTTCCGTACTAGACAGTTCGTGGACAACAGATTGTAAGCTGCACAGTGGGGCTTTTTGCTCCAAGGGTGATGGAATTTTCGATGCGCTCCTGATTGAATAGAATGACTTACATATATTGACTAAGTCTCCTTAAATCTAAACGTTGGCTCTGACCTGCTGAGCATTTGATTTATGCAGATGTTTCCGTGACGCATCAACCACTTTCTATAAATCTTAGTTTAGTCTCACGACATACCCGTGCAAATTTAGAAGGAAGTCTTCATTTCACCGCCACTGAGCATCTTCAAAAGCGAGGATCCAGTCGATACATGATCTGTTGCTCAATATGTGAGAAGAGCGATTTCAACATGCAGGTCCTAGTTGTAGGGTTGTGCACCTTTGGCAAAAGCTCTCAAAAGTTCTACAAGTGTGAGATTTGTTCTTTCCGCTTGTCTAACTCCCTGCGGGTGTTCTGAAACTGTGCACGTTTTACGAATCCCATAGGTACTGCACAGTTCTACCAAAAGCCGGCACTCGAAATTAAGGGTTTTATCGATATGAACCAATTCAGACATACCGTGTTGCCAGAATTCGCGATTAAATATGCTCGTTACTGCAGTCTTAGGGACTCTGTCTTTGCTACCTTAGTGAGGTAGCCAACTATTGCCAAAATATGGTGGTTTCTTTTCTCGGTCGTTAGAAATGGATCGATGGTTTTGGTGCCTACCCTCACGCCTAAGGATCCGGCGAGGATAAAGTGTTGAAATGCTGTCGTTATACAATAAGGCCTTCGAAGATAATGCACATAGCAGACTCGACCATCTTTATTCACCCACCTGTTTGAGTTGCTTGTTGAATTCAAGTAGAACTGTCTGTTAGCGAGTCAAATACAAAAAGGCGATTGTACCGGTGATGTCGGCCTCTAGGAGTGGCTTTCCTATTTCTGCCATAGTTGTATGAGTGCTTCAGTTGTGAATTCGACGAAATTGTTCACAGCTTTTACTAATCAGGACTGTTTGAGGTTAGCGCTCTGCATATTTATTTAGAGGTGGAAGTTAGGTTCGCCTAACAATAACGCACCTGTTGTAGCTGGAAGGTAGAAGTCTAACATTAGAACTTACTCCCTGATACTACATCCCAAAGTCGTACAGCTGAAGTCCATCATATCATTCGAATTGAACGACCACCCCCACCCTGTAAGGGAAGTTTGAACGCATTTGTAGCACTTTGTTTAAATGACTGCTCGATGTCCGGCGGTTGCTTCAAGATTGGTCTGGCCCTTGTACGAATGGGCTGACCTTCAGGGCAAGTCAAAGCTTATTCACTTCTTCTCACTCTAAAATATATGCACATGCAGCGTCCCGAGACTTCCCACCACGTATAAGAAAGCGTTAAGCAGACCTGAACACATTTATTCCAGAGACGACGAAAGAACTAGGTCTGAGCTTGGCTCGAACGCCATCCCACGCGTACAAGGACCAGACGAATCTTAAAGTAACCACAGGAAATCTGGTGGTCAAATAGACAAAGCATTATACTGCCCGGGTTAGATATAACGACATATTCGGTACTGTAAGAAAGCAGTCACGAGCCAGAAACGCCAGTCAACACCTACAATGAGACTGAGGAACGGTACTTGTTCCCCTCAGAATTTTCAACTGGACCTGGAGTTACGTTCGACCCAAAAACCAGAATCGAGGCCCCATGCACCTGCTGTCCATCAATTGCTTCTAGGATTAGACCATAGAACTCCGTTCTAAAACAGATGTGTTACAGAATAAACGGGCCCAGACACCGTTCCGTATATGAGAAGAACCGTAGTGTCATTTTCGACGCCTTTACACAGATTTAGTGGGGGAAAATCCGATACGAAACTTAACCGGATGGTTCGCGACGGTGTTGCATCAGGTGTTGATAGCTTAACTCTGGAACACGAGGACAAGATGAGGACAAACGTAGACACCATTCTCAACATCTTGTTGTAAAGACCTCAGATACTCTCCCGTTACCGATGCAAATGGCCTTAAAAAATGTCGGACTTGCTTTCCGCTGTCACCAGTGTAGCGTCATGAGCCTTCCCACCGGCTAAAAGAAAGCTTAAAGTAGAGCTAAATGGGATGTATTCTAGGGAGAGAAAAGGAATTAGGCCTAGATGTGGCCCGAAAGCCAGTCCATGAGTAAAATGGCCAGATCAATCTCGAAGCAACGGCCGGTCATTTAAACAAAGTGCTACAAATGCGTTCAAACTTCCCTTACAGGGTGGAGGCGGTCGTTCAATTCGAATGCTGTGAATGCTGTGTGTGGGTATATTTTCAAGGCCTAGCTGCTGCATCTTAGTTGTGCTCAGATCCCTAATAGTGTGCAGCTATGTGTAATGCTTTGTTCATGTGACTCCCTGACGTTCGGCGGTCACTTGAAGGTTTGTCTGTCCCTTGTACACGTGGGTTGGCTCTTAATGACTTCTTATACCGACCCGACATTTTTTAATGACTTATAGTCGAGATAGGGTCTCTCTGCGTCTCGTTCTTCGCTGGTCTTTTGTTAAGGCGACACAATGTCCTGAAAAATCTCCTGTCCATCAGACATCGCGGTCTTACTGGCATTCTACGTTTGTGTTGCTAAACACTGACAATTACTTGATTACTTTTCGGAAAAGAACAGTAAGAACGGTCCGACGAGCAAGGGTTCGGTCGGATGATGCAATGGTTCAGTACCTGCAAGTCGCACAGGATTAATAAGCGCATTTCGGCGTTGTGCACCTGCAATCATGAGCTATACATGCGTAGAAGGAAGTCTGATTGATCGGAGTTCAATAGATGAATATATAGGTGAAAAGGGACTTGAATTGAAGGATGTGCATTTACCTTGGTGACAGAGAATCTCTGAATCCTCACAACGAAAGAATGTTGAGGGACGTCCTCATTTGGTTTCACCTTATTCCTGGGTTCCGCAGACAAACTATTAACAACTGAAGCGACACCGCCGCGAACTATCTGGAAAAGTTCCGTGTCAAAAAATTCTTATACAAAATCCATGTTCAGGAGTCGGAAATGAAACTGCAGTTCTCTTTACATATGGGATAGTGGCTCATCCCGTTTTCTCTGAAACACATATGTTTAAACCAGGGTTCCACCTTCTATTCCTGGAAGCAATTGATGGTCAGCAGATGTAGGCAGCCCCCAAAACTGGATGTTAGACCGAACGTAACTCCAGATCCATTTGAAGCTGTCTAGAAGATCCGGTACGGTTCCTCGCTCTCTTGTTGTCCGTCGACTGGAACGGTTGGTTTGTGGGTGCATTCTTGTAGTACTGAATATGTTGTGATGGCTGGCGTGGGAGGTGTACCAAAGGGGAGCGCCGAGGACATCGCTCACTAGAAAAGAGGGACAGTGTGATGCTCTGTTTATGTGACTGTATGACGTTTGGTGGTCACTTTAGGATTTGTCTGACCCTTGTACACTTGGGCTGGCCTTCGGACCACGCTCAGGTTTATTTGCTCAGTTCTCTGTGAAACACATATATCCAGCTGCACTTACTGACTTCGTTTACTGGCTATGAAGTCTCGGGATGCTAAACTATATGACAATGTTTAATAAATCTCACTCTAGGAGTCTCCTTTCTAAGAAGTCTGCTGTTAAGTTCGAGAAGAGCAGAGCAGATGGATCTATGCTACAAAATAGCCATTGTTCCTCATCAATTCTCTGCATCTTTTCTTTTGTATAGGCATCGCATTTAAGTTCCAAACGTTCAAAGATTAATTATTTGCAATAAGATTTTCAATCAAAGCTACCATTAATTTAATTAACTTTATTCCACACCACTACCCATAGAGAACAAAGGCTTTATAACACTGCGATTTCGAAAACTAAGCAGTTGTGATACAGTGATTCAATTCCAGAACAGTCAACTAAGTAAAAAGCATAGTAGTGCAAAAATTGTTTTAATTATTCAAATTTCAACAGTGCGTCTTACTTCATTAGGTTCCTTCGAGGGATGTCTGCGACCGATCAGGTTCGGAGCCTCTTGGATGAGCTGATGGGTGCAGCTAGAGATGGTGAGGGTTAATTAAATGTGTTCTTTTACTGAGTCTGTTTTGTCTCTGCTAAATATGCAAGGGTTCATGCTAAGTAGAACTAAGGCAAAGCGTAGAATTCATCGACTGTTACCATTCGGTCTCTCTTACTTTTAAGGTGATGCCATGAAAGTTGTTATTCGGTTGACTTCCAAGTCATGTAAGTAAATGCCGACTAGGGTGTGAAAATAAATTTCTGCCTGTTTTCTTAATCTTTGCTTGATTAAACCTGGTAAACAGGAGGCGAGAAGCGTATTGAATTCGACGATCCTCGGGTTTGTAAGAGCTTCCTTCTCGACTGCTGCCCTCACGAGATTTTGGCGGGAACAGTATGTTGTATTTTTGTCCATTAACCTCAAGTTTAGAGGATGGATCTTGGCGAATGTCCCTACTCTCATGAAGTCGGCCTCAAGTCGGATTATCGTCGAGAAGCTGCGAAAAGGCCCTACTATTACGAGATAGACGTGAGTTGGTGACAATTCTTCAAACATTTTTATAGGCTTTGCGACATCTAGAAGCCTTTATCGCCGAGAGCAATCGTCGGACTGAGCACGCCAAAGCCAAGTTGAAGGAGACACAGGAAGAGTTGACCGAAGAGGCTGCTGCCCAGGTTGAGAAGATAAACAAACTGAGTGAGGAGATCGGTACAACGTTGGCAAAGGCTGAGCAAAAGGGGCATGAGGGCCATGTGGAGGAGTCCTTGGAGCTTATGAAGCGCGTGGAGGAACTAAATGCCGACAAGGCAAAACATGAGGCGGATTTGCGGAACGCCATCCCAGTTAGCACCTATCAACAACAGAAATTGCGTGTTTGTGACGTTTGCTCAGCGTACCTCGGTGTGCACGACAATGATAGACGTCTTGCGGATCATTTCGGCGGCAAGTTGCACCTGGGTTTCATCACAATCCGAGAGAAACTGGAGGCACTGAAGAAGTATGTGGAAGAGAATGATCTGGTTAGGAAGCAGCGTGAAGATGCCTCGCTTCCACGAAGAGAGCCGAGGAGGGATAGTAGAGATAGAGATAGGGAGCGAGATCGAAGTCGAGACTGGGATCGTGATCGTGAGCGAAGTAGGGAGCACAGGCGTCGACGAAGCCGCTCTAGAAGCCACTCGCGGAGTCGTCGACACGATAGGCATCACAGATCAAATGGTAGCAGGCGTCATCGAGATGACAGTCGCGAGAGAAGACATCGGCCGAAGAGTTCGCGTGCTTATGACGATTAGATGGTGACATTGATGCAGGTGTTTGTGGCACTTTTTGAGTAATTGTTTCTCTGTACATAAGCACCGGTTTCGATTTATATGTAATTTATATCGGATCAATAAAAGTGCCATCGTTCATCTAATTTCTGACAGTCGCGGTTACCTCCGCTTGTTTTCTTTCTTTTTTTTGGGTCTTGAAGAAATCGGGTTGGTCTATTAGGGTTGTCCTCCGTAACGTGCTTACTGAGTGGTGGGATGTACCATGGGTTGTACTTGATGCTGGGTCTCCATGAGTGGCTGCAATTCTATATCACGATGTCAGGATGAGGATCGCATGAAGCTCCGTAATCCGCAATTTTAAATTGTGGTTTCTAGTCTTGGCAGTCGCAGCTACGGGGCAGACTGTCAGCTAAAACAGCTATTTCGGGGGGCCCGTTACTTTACATGGTTCACACGTCGCCGTGTTAATTGGATTTCAGAATGGCTTTTGAATGCAAGATGCTACTTCACTGAATGCACTAGGATCCACTAAGGGCAATCTGTAGAAAGCAGGCCTGCTTTATTGTTCTGGAAGAAGCTAGAGGTGGCATTTTCGAGTACTGATTCTTCATGGGTTCGCCCGACTTCGTAATTTAGTGAAATGGGTTCCCACACAGTCTACTGCTTTGACTTAACATAAGTTGTATCAGCGTAATCATTGTAGTCACTCACGGCTAATTTCCGATGACATTAGTTATGGGCTTTCTCATTGGTGCAGTACTCTTTACTTT